TTGGGTTGGAAGACTTTTAGTGACTACTTCTATTTCCATAGTGGTTATAGGTTTATTTAAATTGTTTATCTGGTCTTCATTTAATTTTGTTATGTGGTACCTATCCAGAAAACTGTCTTCTTCTTTTAGATTTTCCAATTTTGTGGAGTATAGGTTTTTGAAGTATGATCTAATAATTCTCTGGATTTCCTCAGTGTCTGTGGTTACATCCCCCTTTTCATTTCTGACTTTGTTAAGTTGGATATTCTTTCTCTACCTTTTGGTTACTTTGGGTAAGGGTTTGTCTATCTTGTTAATTTTCTTTGTTTCACTGAATCTGTATTGTTCTCTTTGGTTTACTTTTATTGGCTTCAGCCTAACCATGTCCTCCTCTTGGGTGAGTTTGCTTCTTTTTGTTCTAGAGTTTTCTTGTGTGCTGTTAAGTTGCTAGTGTGAAGTTTCTCCAAATTTTTTATGTAGGCATTTAGTGCTATGAACTTTCCTTTTAGAACTACTTTCATAGTGTCCCATTAGTTTGGATAACTTCTATATTAATTTTCATTGAATTTTAGGAAGTCTAATTTTTCCTTTCATTGTTTGTTTTCCATGAGGTTGTAGGCTTCTAGAATCTGTGCTGGTGTTGAATTCTAACTTTGAGCCATGGTGATCTGATAAGATGCAGGAGGTTATTTCTATTTTATTTATTTATTTGCAGCTGTTGAAACTGGTTTTGTGATCAAGTATGTGGTCAGTTTTAGAGAAGGTTCCATGAGGTGCTGAGAAGAAGGTATATTCTTTTGTGTTTGGGTGAAATATTTTGCAGATGCTTGTTAAGTCTATTTGTGTCATAACATGTTAGCTCCCTTCATTCTCTGTTAAGTTTCTGGCTGGCAGAACTCTCCATTGTTGGGATTGTGGTGTTGAAGTCTCTCACTATTAATATGTGGGGTTTGATATGTGATTTAAGCTTTAGCAACATTGATTTTACAAAGGTGGGTGCCTTTGTATTTGGGGAATAAATGGCCAGAATTGATAATTCATTTTCATTGATTTTCCTGTGATGAATATGAAATACCCTCCGTCTCTTTTAATTTTTTATTAATTTTAGATTGATGTCTATTTTGTTAGATACTAAGATAGCTACACCAGCTTGTTTCTTAGGTCCATTTGATTCGAAAATCTTTTCCCCACCCTCTACTCTGAGGTAATGTCTGTCTTTGAAGTTGAGGTGTGTTTTCTTTTTTCTTTCTTTCTTTTTTTTTTTGAGACAGGGTTTCTCTGCGGCTTTGAAGACTGTCCTAGATCTCGCTCTGTAGACCAGGCTGGTCTTGACCTCACAGAGATCCGCCTGCCTCTGCCTCCTGATTGCTGGGATTAAAGGCGTGTGCCACCATCGCCCTTTGATCCTGTTTTTTTTAACCATTCTGTTAGCTTGTGTCTTTTTATAGGTGAATTGAGTTCATTTGATATTAATTCCGATAAATTGTTAATTTCTCTTAATTTTTGGTTTTGTTGGTGGTGGTGGTAGAGTGTGTGTGTGTGTGTGTGTGTGTGTGTGTGTGTGTGTGTGTGTGTTTCCCCTCTTTGGGATGTGCTGGTGTGAGATTTTATCTCTTTCCTGTGTTTTCATGGATGCAGCTAACTTTTTTGGGTGGGAATTTTCCTTTTAGTATTTCCTGTAGGGTGGTTGGATTTGTAGATAGTTATTATTTAAATCTGGGTTTGTCATGGAATATCTTGTTTTCTTCGTCTATGGTGATTGAAAGTTTACTGGGTATAATAGTCTGGGCTGGTATCCATGGTCTCTTAGCGTCTACAGAATGCCTCTCCTGATCCTTCTGGTTTCAGAGCTTCCATTGAGAAGTTAGGTGTAATTCTGATTAGCTCTGTCTTTATATGTTATTCAGTCCTTTTCCTTTGCAGCTCTTAATATTCTTTTTTTATTCTGTGTGTTTATTGTTTTGATTATGTGGTGAGGAGACTTTTTGGGGGGTTCAGTTTATTTTGTGTTGTGTAAGCTTCTTGGATCTTCATAGGCATGTTCTTCTTTAGGTTGGATAAGTTTTCTTATGTGATTTTGGTGAATATAGTTTCTGTACTTTTAATCTGGATTTCCTTTCCTTCTTGTATCCCTATTATTATTATTATTATTTTGGTTTTTTGAGACAGGGTTTCTCTGTATCGTTTTGGAAGCTGTCCTGAAACTCACTTGGTAGACCAGGCTGGCCTCAAACTCACAGAGATCTGCCTGCCTCTGCCTCCCGAGTGCTGGGATTAAAGGAGTGCGCCACCAACGCCCAATGTTGAATGTATTCTTTTTTTTTTTTTTTTTTTTTGGTTTTACGAGACAGGGTTTCTCTGTTTTGGAGGCTGTCGGTCCAGCCTGGCCTCGAACTCACAGAGATCCGCCTGCCTCTGTCTCCCGAGTGCTGGGATTAAAGGCGTGTGCCACCAACGCCCGGCTTGAATGTATTCTTACACTGCCATTTACCCATCTGGGTCTGGGATAGTTACAGGTACAGGTTTTACTTCTTGTGATGTTTATTGGCTGGGTCTTTTGTTCCTTTATTGTCTTTTTCCTTTTATTGCCTTTTGGCTGGAGTGGCCAGGGGTGCTGGTGATCGGCTGGTTGTAAGTCAAGTGGGGTGGTCTCAGCTGAGGTTTGGTGGGGTTGGATGCCTAGATTCAGTATATTGTTTAGTTCTTCTGGCTGGTGTAGCCTTTGCTTGTGCCTATGGGGTTTCCTCTTCCATCTGGTGGGGGTTGTGCCTGCACCTATGGAGTCTGCTCTTCCAGCCTGTATAGTTTTTCAACTGGTGCAGGTGGTGCTTCTGCCTCTAGGGGCTGCTGATGTTTTGGGGGAGGATTATAGGTTAAGTGGGTGAATTGGCCTGCCTACAGGATTCTCACCTGCTCACAGGATACTGGAACTGAGCTTCCTTTTTTAAAAAGCTGACTGTATAGCTTTATGGACACATTCTTATTAATATATAGTAAGTACACATAATAACAGATATCATTATGGCACTTTTTTTCTGCAAACATTTTATCTAAGACTTTATTCACATGAAAATCTCTCTGGAAGAAGAAATACTTTCAGCCGCCATCAGTTGTTTTTACACAGAGCAAGTCAATTTTTCTTTTTTTAACTTTTCTCATCGAGGCTGCAGTTTTCCCTCCCTCTCCTCCTGCCAGTCTCTCCCCCACTTCCCCTGGATCCAACCCCTTTGTCTCCTGAGAGTAGAGCAAGACTCCGAGGGACATCCATCAAACACAGCATAAGAAGCTACAATAAGGCCAGGCGTATACCATCACATCAAGGCTGGATGAGGCAACCTAGTAGGAGAAGGGTCACACGAGTGGACAAGAGTCAGCGATTGCCCTCACTCCTGCTGTTAGGAATCCCACAAGAACACCAAGCTATTAGCCATAACATATGCAGAGGACCTAAGTCAGACCCCTACAGACTCCTTGATTTCTGTGAGTCCTCATGACAGTTTATTCTGTGGGCCACATTCTCGTGGTTTTCCTGACCCTTCTGGTTGCCCCAATCCTGCCTCTCCCTCCTCTGCAGGACTCCCTGAGCTCTGCCAATGCTTGGCTCTGGGACTCTGCATCTGCTCCCATCAGTAGCTGGATGAAGCCTTTCTGGTCTCTTTGATGAGGATTCCACAGGGCTTGGTCCCAGAACACTCTGCAGGCAGGACAAACTGTAGGCTGAAGCCTTTGTGGCTGGGTTGGTGTTCCAATTACTCTACTTGAGGCCTTGCCTGGTCACCAAAGATGGCTGGTTCAGGCTCTGTGTCCCCCATTACTAGGAGACTTTGCTGGGATTGGTCTCATGTTTCCATGGAATTTCCACTGCACTAGGTATCCAACCTGACCCTGAAATGACCCTCCCTTCACCTGCTCACCCCTGTCCCCGTCCCCTGCCACTTAATCTATTCTGTTTCTCCCTCCCAGGGAAATTCTCGTTTCCCCCCAAGCTCTTCTTGTTTCTTATCTTTTACTTTATACCTAATATCCACTCATAAGTGAGTAATACCATGTTTGTCTTTCTGGGTCTGAGTTACCTCACTCAGGATGATTTTTTTTCTCTAGTTCCAATCATCTGTCTTCAGATTTCCTGGTGTCATTGTTTTTAACAGCTGAGTAATACTCTATTGTGTTAATGTACCACAAACCACCAAGTATGTGATCAGTTTTGGAGAATGTTCTATGAAGTTCTGAGAAAAAAAGTATATTCTTTTAAATGGTCTGTAGATATATGTTGGGTCCATTCGATCCGTAAAGTCTGTTAGCTCTATTATTTGTTTAATTTTTGTTTGGATTATCTGCCCATTATTTTGTTTGGTTTCTGTCTGGATTCTCTGTCCATTGATGAGTGTGGAGTATTGTCTCCCACTCTTTGAAATCTCTAAGGTAACCTGCCTCTCTTCGCAACGATTAAAATCAACAAATTCTGTATTTCAGTCTTTTCAAATTTATCACAGTCCCTACCATCGCACAGCAAGGAGGAATCCTTCTGCAGGGAGTCTCAGGCAAAGCGTAATCAAATCAGTTATGTCCCGATCTGATTTTACTCCAATTCTTCACTTTAAGATTTAGGCTCAGCCAGGCAGTGGCGACTCACATCTTTAATCCCAACACTCGGGAGGCAGAGAAAGAAAAATCTATGTGAGTTCAGGGCCAGTCTGGTCTACAAGAGAGTTTGGACAACCAGGGCTACACAGAGAAACTCTGTCTCGAAAAAACCAAACCAAACAAACACAACAAAAAAAAAACACCAAACCCTTAGGCTCGTCTATATATTCTATAGGAGAGAAAATACAGTACGAAGAGCCCGGAAGTCCGTTTGTAGTACACCTGGGAGCCTCCCCTTTGAGCGCACAACCCTTTGGGAACTTCAATCTACTGGGCACAGCTCCCAGACAGGCTTCACAGGTCGTTTGCTGGAATTTCTCTGAAACGCTTGGCTTGCCCCTGCACGCGACGACTACATTTCCCAGATGTCACCGCGCCGGAAGTAGCCTATCACTTCCGGTATCCGCGCTGCTATTGCGGGAGGTCTGAGCTTTCTAGTTGGAGGAAGAAGTAGGCGTTAAGTCTCCATTGAGCAAGGAGGGAGCCAGCGGGCTGCTGTGGTGTGGACGGTGGTCAGGGTGAGTGTGTGGGGACCGTGGTGTGCGCGTGTGTGTGACTGTGCGCGCGTGTGCGCGTCTCGAGCTCTCCGGTGCCGGTGTCCCCGCGCTCGTCGCTCTCCGCTCCCGCTTCCTCGCCGTCACGGGGCTGAAGCAGGGGACCAGGCTTCAGGAGCGAGAGCTCAGGGACGGAGTCTGGGGGAAGCTTTCCCTGAGCTCCACACTTGAGCTCGGGCCGAGCACTGGAGGCCGCCAGCGCCCCCAGGGTCGCCCAGGAGGGCGGCTACTTGTTGCGTCCGTAACTTTCTCAGAGCTGTGGGCACCGTGAGTGTCGCGGGAAGGGAAGGGAGTGCGCTGGGGTGTGTGGTCTGGGGTCTCACGAGAGCTCGCTCAGGCTCCCCGAGTCCGCCATTGTTCAAAAGGAGGGAGGGCCTGGAGCGGAGTGCGAGCATCATTGCTGTACACCCAAGATTCAAGAGTGAGTGGCTCCTTCTTTGTGTTTGAGAAACGAGGTTGTAGTGTTAGAATAGAGTTATCAGTATGTGAAGATAGTTGTAAGTTGATATCTCCAGTAATGTACTTTTTCCACGTTATTTTTCCTTTCTGGAAACGGACACCTATTGAATATTTATTATTTACATATATAACGTAATATATAATGGAATATACATGTACATATATAGTACACTTACAATTGTTTGGGCTGCATGGCTGTGTGTTGGGAAATCAAAGCCCATCCTCTCCAAGAGTAACACGTACTCTAGCCCCTGGGCTATCTCTCCAGCCATCTGATAATAGGCACTGTCAACAGGCTTGGGGACATCCGTCTTTGTGACTTTAACCTGACTCACCGTACTTACTTTTCATGTGCCTATAATCGGCCATACTGGTGTTCTTGTGGAGAAATGTCTGTCTGTGCTTTGCCTGTTTCTTAATTAGCATGTGTCCTTGTCACTGAGTTGTCTGCATTCAGTGCAGGGGTTTAGGTGTCAACTCCTTGTCACTAGTGTAATTTGCAAATATTCTCTCCCATTCTCTAGGTTATCCCTCTACTCTGTAAATTATCTCCTCCGTTGTGTGAAGGTTTTCAGTTTGGTGCAAATTCCATTTGTCCATTTAGCTTTTGTTGCTTGTGTTTTTATAGTAATGCCCCAAATGTCCAGTGTCATGAGGCTTTTCCTGTATATTTTTTTCTAGTAGTGTCAGTTTTGGTTCTTAAATTTTAATCTGTTTTGAGTTGACTTTTGCATGTGGTGTGCCTGAGGGTCTAATGTCATTCTACTGCTTGTTAAAAAGGAGTTTGGCCAGCAGCACTGATTGTAAAAGCTAGCCTGGAACCCACATAGACCAGGATCTCCTAGGTTTTGAGCAATCCTCTTCCCGCTGCCTCCCATTGTTACAAATGTAGACCTGTGCTACCACAACCAGCAGGACATCCTGTACTTTTTTACATGGTGTTGTGACCACAAACTTCATGAAACATAGTCATAAACGTCATGAGGTCACACATTATACTATCACAGAAATGTATAAATGTTGCCTGGGTGACGGTTTAGTCGGTACAGGTGTTTGCCACATGAAACTGTGCAGTGTCAGATGCAGTTGTACATGTCCAATCCCAGCCCTCATATTGCAGGATCGGAGGTGGAGATGAGAATTTCTGGAAGACTAGCCAGCCTGGTGTATGCAGAGGCCAGGAGGGGAAGGAAGGATAAAGAAACAAAGAAATTTTGTATCTGAGTTTTGTAGGAAGACAAAAATGTATAATTTTATAAGACTTTCAGATGTGCACTTGAGAGTTAGGCATGGCTGTAATCAGCCTGGGAAATGGAAGAGGCAGCTTGAGGAGTTCAGGGACATCCTGGTATACACTAGACTCTGTCTCAAAGCAAACAACTCAGAGTGTATAGAAACCAAGGCTTAGCTTGGACCTGCTGGGTTAGAGCATTGGTTTCTCATTTGGTGATGGCTGCTCCCCAGGAAAATGTAAGGGATCTGAGGGTGTGTTTGCTACTATAGTGTAACATGTAGTCTTCCTGCCAGCCACCTGGGTCCCGCAGCTGTCTCAGCCCCCAAATAACACACAAAACACTATATTAATTATGAAGCTGTTGGCCATTTGCTTGGATTCTTACGGCTAGCTCTGACTTAATTATTAACCCATAACTGCTAATCTGAGTATTTCCATGTGATATCTTACCAGAGAAAAGGGTCCGGACCTCTTCTCCGGCGTCCGGCATTGTGACTGACTGTGCCTCTATTTCCCACAATCCTCCTTGACTCCTAGTCTCACCTATCTTGCTTCCCTGTTGGCCAGCAGTGATTTATTAATCAACCAGCAGGACAACATATACACAGAAGGCTGTCTCCCATCACTAGAGCTAGAATGCAGGCGGGATGCTGCTGGATGTGTAGACAGTCTTCCCACAGGATAATTACGACAGCATACTGAGGTTGAGAAAGCCAGTTCTAGAAACAAAGTCTTAGGGCACCTGATATAAGTTTAAAATTGTTTTGTGAAAAATAGTCCATAAAATGGAAAGAGTGAATCAAATCATACTCACCTATGGTGACACCGTGGCTTGCAGCTAATTATCTTCATCAAGATTCATGATTAGTTGATGCAACCTGAGCCGTAATCATAGATGAGCGAAGGCAGTCAGAGGGTGTTCCATGGTGTACGACTCCATTTACTAAAAGTGGGTACAGAATGCTGAACACTGCCTGAGGATTGCAGCTGCAGACCCCCAGCCTCGCTGTGCCTCACTCAGCCCTGAGTGTTCAGAGGAGTTACCGTTCTGTTGCCATCTCCCTGTCAGCCCTGAGGGTGGGATTCCGGTGGGAAGATCTGCTTATGGTTGGGGCTAGCTGCCTGTCAGAAGGAATGTGGGGTCCCCTCTGCTGGCATCTTCTGGGGACTTCTAGGCAGGCGTGCCTGTGCTCTGCATGTCCGCACTGAGTCCTTGTCAGTGGCTTGTCTGGGTTGGGACAGAGTCGCTTGTGTGGACTCCTGTCTGCTTCTGTTTGTGAGTGGGTGGCTATGAGCAGTGGACAGGAGTGTGTGAGTGCGGATGCCTGGAAATAAACGTGGTCAGTGAAGCCATGCTGGCCCGAGTCAGTCTGGGAACATCAAGTGACAACCCAATGAAGACTGTCTTTTTGTCCCCCAGGGGAGGACCCTGAAGAAGAATGGCCAGCTCTGGTTCTCAAGACATGGTCTGTGTAAGTTACGTTCTCTCTTTACATAGGGTGACTTTGAGGTTAGGTGACTCTGCTGTCTTTCTCTCGTGAAGCTTCCCCAGGACCCACAATCCTCCAGCCCAAGCTGCCCCATCATCCCTCTCAGTGAGGGTTGGAAGGTCAGAGCACTTCCTGTCTGCCTCTCTCCTGCTGCTTCTGGAGTTTTCTGAGTGTGTCCCTGACCACCTGCTGTCTGCTTGGTCTGTGGTCAGGGAGCAGTGTACTTGCAGTGGGGGGCCAGAGTCCCACAGGGAAGCAGGGTCTTTGGGGTTCAGAATATTGAGGTGATGGTGTCTTTGACTGCACTGGGAATCCTGATTGACATCTTTGGTGTTTTCAGGCTGGTGATATGGGTTTGAGAGTGAATGTCCTGGGTGCATGTGTGTGAGGAGATGACCTGCTTGAGGGTCTTTAAGAGAGAGTTCAGTGGTGAGAGGGACAGGTCATCCAGGCTGCGATTGGAGGGGACGGCAGACTCCAGAGTTCAGGAAGACCTGAGACACATCATCATCTTGAACGCAGTCAGGGGCCTTGAGCGTTTCCATGGCTCCTTTCCCACTCTGGAGTCCTTTACCTTCTGTTTCTCCATCTTGAAAAAGGCTTCCGCAATTTCACTCTGCTGTGTTTGTGGTTTCAGGGCTCAGTGACATTTGGGGATGTGGCTGTTGACTTCTCTCAGGAGGAGTGGGCCTACCTGGATGCTACTCAGAGGGTCTTCTACAGGGACATGATGTTGGAGACCTACAGCAACCTGGTCACAGTGGGTAAGGCCATCTGTCCCCATGAGTGGGGGATGTGTCCTCTACACTGTTGGTTCTCTCACTCTGAACATAAAGACAGGGCCGTCTTTCCTGTGGTAGCTCAAGCTGGGCTTGGTGGCCCATTCCTGTCATTACTTCAGTCAAAAGACTGAGTCAGGATGACTGCTGTGAGTTCAAGGTCACCCTCAGGTACATTGTGAGTTCCAGAAGTCTACTCTACAGGGTGAGGCCCTGCTTAAAACAAAACAAACAAACTGAATGAAATAAATAAGGAAACAAATCAATGAATAGAATTAAGGTCTACAGAGATGATTGCTGTTTGAGAGAATTGGCTGCTCTTGCAATGCAACCTGACTAGCAAGTTAGCTCACAGCATTTGCAACTCCAGTTGAGGGATCTGCGGCGCTCTTCTGGCCTCTGTGGGAATCAAGCGTGCATGTGATATTCAGATGTACATGTAGCTTAAGATAAAATGAATTAAAATCCATATAATGTATAAGACGTAGCTGAGTTCCTCCTTCTTCCCAAAGGAGTAATGTGGGAATTCTTGGTTGAAAACTGGAACTTAATGAAGCACCTGTCCACACCTTGGAGATTCTCTCAGTGAGCTCTGGATTCAGAGTGAGACCCTGTCTCAAAAGCCAGAGTGGGAAGTATTCACATTGCTCCCTGACCTATACATACACATGCATGCATGCCTACTCACGCTTGTGCATACACACACTCATGGAAGCATGCATTCACTGTGCATGCATGCCTACACACGCTTGTGCATACACCCTCATGGAAACATGCATCTATTCTACATACATGCATACATACGCTTGTGCATACACCCTCATGGAAACACGCATCCATTCTACATGCATGCCTACACACGCTTGTGCATACACCCTCATGGAAACACGCATCCATTCTACATGCATGCCTACACACGCTTGTGCATACACCCTGATGGAAGCATGCATCTATTCTACATGCATACACACGCTTGTGCATACACTCTCATGGAAACACGCATGCTTACTCAACTAAATAAAAGAGCCTTTGTTTTTTTACTTCATAACGAATCAATAGAATCAACTCAAAAGAGAAATGGACACGTTCTATTTTCCTCAATGAACACTCCCTTTACATGCTTTGCAGGGAGGTTTTAAGCTGTGAATTTGTCCTTTTATTGAGCAAGTCTGTAAGAATGAGGTGTAAATGTGAACAAAGCCAAGGGAACTAACTCAACAGTAGATCACTACGCAGCATACTCAGACCCTAGTCCCATCCCCAGCATTACAACATAGAAAAATAGAAATTAAAAAAAAATTTGTGTCAGTATAGTTCACACAGTATTCAAAGTATTTGAATATACTATTTGATCTTAGTATCAATCCTAGCTAATAGATAACATCAACTCAGTCTAAATTATTGTTATTACTATTATTATCATTTGATATTTTTTGTTTGTTGTTTGTTTGTTTGTTTTGAGGCCAGGTGTCATGTAGCTCAGTCTGGCTGTGAACTTGCCATGAAGCCAGTGCCAGCCTTGAACTTCTCAACTGCCTGTTTTCACTCCTCAGGTGTTGTGGTTACTTGTGTGTGCCACCATTTCCATTTTTAGATGAAAAAAATGAACACAGACTCTTACATAAATGATTTATTATCGAGCTACAGAGATGGGGTTCCACTAGGTAGTGTAGCCTAAGGGTGTCCTTTTTTCCTTCTTTTAAGTGGGAAGTTCCATCTCCAAACCCCACCTGATCACCTTATTAGAGGAGGAGAGAGAGCCCTGGATGGTGGTGAAGGAAGAAACAGACAGCCCCAGCCCAGGTGAGTGACAAGTCAGGGCTCCAGCACTGCCAGACACAGCGTGGTCGGAGAGTCACCTCATGCCTGACACTGGGTTGACACACTTCCTTCAGAGCGCCAAGACCACAGCCAAGACCTGGGAACGAAGTCACGGTCATAGCAAAAGCTGTCACAGGGGCTTCTAGTTCATGAGTCACTAAGTCGTTCTCATCTCCTCCCTCTTACTGGGGCAGTTACCCTCTTTCTCATTTTAAATGTATTTTATTGTTGATTGTGTGTGTGTGTGTGCACATGTGTGCAGGTACCCACAGAGACCACAAGAGAGTGTCAGATACTCTGGGGCTGGAGCTACAGGGGGCTGCTGGCACTTGAACCCAGTTTCCTCTGGAAGAGCAGTCAGTGCTCTTAACTGCTGATGCAGTGATGAGATACTTTGACACCAGTGAAGGCAGTACTCCAGTGAGGCCCAGCAAGCATTTACTTCTGTGTCTTCATAGTCACTCTCATCAAAGTGTGATGGAGGAGCCGGTGCCTCTCACTGCAGCACTGGGGAGGAGGGAGACGCAGATCACTCGGCCTGGTTTCCTTGTCTAGCTCCAGGCACATGAGAGGCCCTGACTCAATAGGAGGATGGAGAAGCGGCTGGGACACCATGTGAGCACTCACCCCAGCCTCCACCCAGCTTCCCATGGGCGTGATGACTCCTCTTGGTTGCCAGTGAGACTTCATCTGGGACTAAACCCAAGCAGCTGGCTATACCCGTGAGAGAGTTTTCTTAAGCCACTCTAAGTGGGAAGATCACCTTAAATCCTTGTCTTTTGAGTGGTAAGGTCCCCCTTAAATCTGGGCCATCCCTTCTGTGGCAGCCTGTACAGAGGACGGGCAAGAAGGCAGCTCTTGCCTTCTGTCTGCTTCCCTCTCTCTGCTGGCAGGCCGTTCCTTCACTGACATGACAGCCTGCTTCTTTAGATTCCGGCGTGTTCCTAAGACCAGCCGAGACGTCCAGCCTCGTGGGGGAAGAGTGAACAACCCCTGCATTCCTGGACTTTGTGTTGGGGACAGGCAGTGTTGCCCTCGCGGGACCACAGCCTGTAAACCACTCTCACAAATCCCACACATACAGAATGAACGCTGCTGTTTCTCTAGGGAACCCTGACTGTCACAGGGCACATATCTATAATGCCAGGGCTTGGGAGGTGACAGCAGGAAGATCAGAAGTTCAAAGCTATCTTCAGCTACATACTGAGTTTGAGGCCAGCCTAGGCTACACGAGAGCATCTCAAAACATAGAGGGGTGGAGAGAGGGTGCAGTGGTTAAGAGCACTTGCTGCTCCCACAGAGGACCCAGGTTTCACTCCCAATGGTGCAGTGGTTTCCATCACACACAGAGGCTTGCAACTGCCTACAACTCCCAGTCCAAAGGATCTGATGTTCTCTTTTGTCTTCCTTCGGCACCAGGCATGCAGATGGTGTACATGTGCACTCACATACATATATCCAGGCACTCATAGAAACACAGAAAGTGAAAATAAAAGAATCATTAAAAATAAACAAGGAAATGCAGACAAATAACAACAGCTACAACAAAACCTTCCCAAACGAATCATCAGAACTATTGACATGTAACATACTAATTGGAAACTTGTGGCCCCATGAGCTGTGTTTATATCTATAACTACATTTTAAACAAGTTCTGTTGAACTGTTTGATCATATGCCACTAATATGACTCTTGATTCTAAACATTTCATGCATCTGCTGGTAGGATATTATCCACAACAACCTTCCATCAATCCTACTTAATGTAAACAACCTGTTACTATCATACTTAGATAATTATCTCAGAAGGATCCACAGAAGTATAGTTTTCTTTATGGGTTTTTCCCATTTTGATGGACTTTTTAAATTTTAGTTTTGTTTACATTTCAGCGCCATACTCTTTGAATGTATATATTATTAGGTTTCCTTAATCTTCTTCTCCTTTTGATGAGAATGGATTTTTTTTCATCCAATAATGTATCCTGACTGTGTCCTTCCCTCCTATACCTTCCCGATTTTCTCCAAGTCCTCTCTTGTCTAGATCTATTTTCCTTCTTTCTCTTTTAGAAAACAAACAGGCTTCTAAGGGATGATAAAGGAAAATATACTACAATAAAATAGGTTGAAACAAAATTCCCACATTGGAACTGGACAAAACAAGTGAAATTGCCCAAGAAACCACAAGAAATAGAAACCCACTTGCTTAAGGTCATGAATCCCATACAAACGCTAAACTGGAAGCCATAATTAGTAAATGCAGAAAGGATTAGATGCAGGCCCTGGGCATGCTGGCTCAGTGTCTGTGGGATCATATGATCTTTGATCATGTTGATTTAGAGGCCTTGTTTTCTTGGTGTCTTCCATCTCTCTGGCTTCTATACTGTCTCTTCCCGCCTCCTCTTCCACGAGCTTCCCTGAGCTGTGATGGGAGGGATTTGATGGAAGCATCCCATTTAGGGCTGAGTATTCCAAGGCCTTTTGACTTTCTGCATAGTTTCTGGCTGTGGGTCTCTGTATTTGTTCCCAGCTGCTGCAGAAGGAAGCTGTTCTGATGATGGCTGAGCAAGGCACTGGTCTATTACTAAGCAGAGTGTCATTAGGACCCATTGTGTTGCTTAATTTTTCCTTTTGATTTTTAGAACAATATTTTTGGTTTTGATCTAGATCCCTCAGGTTTTTGGCCACTCATTCATGGTAAGTGATGGGTTTTATCTCATGGAATGACCCTCAAGTCAAAGCTTGTAGTTATTGTCACAGCCTTTGGGCCCTAGTGTATCCTACTGGGAGGACAAGCAAAGGTTTTTGCTGCCTTATTCCAAGCGTTTGTGGGTGGTTTGGTGTTTATTTCTCTTTTGGTAGTGTGTAGAGTACCTTCCTGTCCCAAAGACATTGGTACATAGGGGTGAAGGCTCAGTGAATACTAAAATCTCTGCTTCTGCCTCTGCCACTGCCTCCTGAGTGCTGGGCTTAAAGGTGTGCCCATCACCCTGGCCAGGCCAGATTTTTTAAAAGGATGACAGATAAATTATGTATTTGTGTGGTTAGATTTTTTTTCTCACAAGTTGGTTAAAAAACTTCCACCATAGGGTGTGCATTTCAAGTCATACATAAAGAAGCACATAAGATTCTTTTCAGTATAGTTTGTGTCAATCTCTTTAAGCAGACATGCCGTCCCATTTCCACCCTGTTCTACTGTAAAGAGTAGTGTCTTCCATACACTTTCATTATTACTGCTCTCCTTCCTCCTGTTCAGCTTCTCAGAAAATACTTTAGAATCTAATGGAGTGTGTGTGTGTGTGTGTGTGTGTGTGTGTGTGTAAAATAAAATAGTCTTGCTTTCTGATTTTCTTTCAGATTTGGAGTCAGATTATGAAGCTCAAAAAATGTCTCCAGACAATCATATTTATAATGTAAATTTACCCAAACAGAGCATAAAGCATGTAAGTAAAGCTTGTGACTTCCAGGGCTCCAGTTTTAGTAATGGTCCCAACTTTAGTACATTCAAGAGACTACGGGGCTATCAAGATGGAGATGCTGATCAAAAGATTACTAACAAGAAAAAAATGCCTACTTACACCTGCCGAAGTCTGAATCACAATATAGAAAAAGCATATGAATGTAAAGAGTGTGGGAAGCATTTTGATTGTAGTTCAACTCTTATTCAGCATCAGAGTATTCATACTGGAGAGAAACCCCATGAATGTAAGGAATGTGGGAAAACCTTTAGACTCCACCAACATCTTATAAGACATCAGAAATCTCACAGTGGTGAGAGACCTTTTGAATGCAAGGAATGTGGGAAAGCCTTCAGACTTCCCCAACACCTTACAAAACATCAGAAATCTCACAGCGATGAGAGACCTTTTGAATGTGACGAGTGTGGAAAGGCCTTTCATCGTCCCAGCCTCCTTAAGTACCATAAAGCCATTCATTCAGGTACAAAACCATTTGAATGTGAGGACTGTGGCAAGTCCTTCAGGCGTGTCTCCCAGCTTGTTCAACACAGGAGTGTTCATACTGGAGAGAAACCCTATGAATGTAAGGAATGTGGGAAAGCCTTCAGACTCCACCAACAACTTACAAGACATCAGAAGTCTCACAGTGGTGAGAGACCTTTTGAATGTGACGAGTGTGGAAAGGCCTTTCATCATCCCAACGTGCTCAAGTACCATAAAACCATCCATTCGGGTGTAAAACCATTTGAATGTGAGGAATGTGGGAAGTCCTTCAAGCGTGCCTACTATCTTGTTTTACACAAGAGTATTCATACTGGTGTGAAACCATATGAATGTAATGAATGTGGGAAAGCCTTTAAGCGTCGCTCATATTTTAGGCAGCATCAGAAAATTCATTCTGGCCAGAGACCCTTTGGGTGTAAGGAATGTGGAAAGGCCTTCACTCTTCTGTTTCAGCTGACTCAGCATCAGAACATTCATAGTGGAGAGAAGTCACTTGAATGTAAGGCGTGTGGGAAGATGTTCAGTCATGGTTCTCTCCTTTTGCGGCACCAGAGTATTCATACTGGGGAGAAACCCTTTGAGTGTAATGTTTGTGGGAAGGCTTTTAGGCTTCAGTCATACCTTTCTCTGCATAAGAAAACTCACACTGATGAGAAACCTTTCAAGTGCAAGCTGTGTGGGTCAGCCTTCAGACATTTGTACCTACTCAGTCAGCATCAGAGAGTCCATACCGATGGGAAACCCTATCAGTGCAATGTATGTGGAAAGGGCTTTCTTCGTAGTACATTCCTCAAGATTCACCAGCGAATCCACACTGGTGAGAAGCCCTTTCAATGTAAGGAATGTGGGGAAGCCTTTCAATATCGTTACCAATTTCTTCGACATTTTAGCATTCATAGTGGCAAGAATCCTTATGAATGTGAAGAATGTGGGAAGTGCTTTACTTGTGATAGAGACCTTACAGTACATCAAAGAATTCACACTGGCGAGAAACGTTACCAACGCTAAGAATGTGGGAAGGCCTTTAGTCAAAAGCAAACTTGATCTGACACACTGAAATTCATATTGGAAAGAAACCTTACATAGGTAAGGGATGTGCAAAGTTCTTTGTCAATACTGCTAAGCTGGCTATATATCAGAGAGTTTTTACTGGTGAGAAGAAACCATACTGAATGTAAGAAATGTGGGAAATGTCTACATTTAGTTCAACCTTCACTGAATAACAGAATTCATACTGCTATGACACTATCAATGCAAAGAATGAGAAAATAACCTTCAATTTGAGCTCAGGCCTTGTTTATCCTAAAAGAATCCACGCTTGGGTGAAACTCTATGAATACAAGGAATGTGGTGACACTTTGAGCTCTTAAAGCTCTCCAGAGTCCTTATAAGTCTGAAACACTATGAAAGTAAAGAATGCGTGGAAGCCTTATTGTAAATGGTGAGCTTGCATAACAGCAGAAAATCCATCATCATCAGGAGTCCTGTGCATGTAAGGAAAATGGATAAGCTTTTGTATGATAATTTTAAAAATATATTTATTTATTTTTAAGATTTATTTATTTATTTATTACATATACACTGTTCTGCCTACATGCCAGAAGAGGTCACCAAACTGAATTGCAGATGGCTGTGAGCCACCATGTGATTGATGGGAATCAAACTCGGGACCCCTGGAAGAGCAGTCAGTGCTCTTAACCTCTGAGCCATCTCTCCAGCCCTTGTATGATAATTTTAGTGAACATCAAGGAACTCATTTTGAGAAGGGTGTGGCTGAGAATTATGGAAATTTTTAATCTGCTCTGTGTTTGGTCATCATCAGAGTGTTTGTATCCTCCTCATGCCAAGAAACCCTGTATTTTAGTTTGGGTTTCTGTTCCTGTAGTGAGATATCAAGACCAAAAACCAAGTTGAGAAAGAAAGGGTTTATTTGGTTCACACTTCCACATCGATGTGCGTGTCTCCATGAAGTCATGATGGGAACGGGTCATGATCCTAAATCTAGGAGCTGATGACGAGGCCGTGGAGGGGTGCTGCTTACTGGTTTGCTTCCCATGGCTTGCTCAGCTGCTTTCTTTCTATCTCTTGTATCTTAGCCCATTTCTCTTCAACTGTGTTCTACTTTGGAGTTCTTTACCTTTTTAACTTTCTTTATATCTTCCTTTCCTGCTGTCTGTGTTTCTGGCTGTCTGGGGGCCATCTGACAACATGTAAATGGCGTGTACTATCAGCTGTCGGCAACAGTGAGCACATCCCCAAGCCGCACAGCATGCTGCATGGCAGATACAGACAAAAAAAAGTTTTAAAAATCAAGGCAGTGAGCACAGCTCCCACTTTTGGTGGTAAATGTACCCCTGCCGTGTTGGAAAGCCAGCAGCTAAAATGTCCTCTTTAATCCTAGCAATGTTTAGCAGCTAAAAAAACTGGTGGCCAGAAAAAGAGATATACAGTAAAGACGGTTCAGGTGAAAAAAGTCTCTAAAGGGTTTACAGTGTGTTTAAAAATTGTACATAGGCTTGGGAGAGAAAAGAAAAAGGATAATGTGGTTAAAAAAGAAATAGAGTAGCTGGGTGTGGCACATGCCTTTAGTCTCAGCACTTGGGAGGCAGAGGTATGCAAATCTCTGTGATTTCAAAGCCAGCTATGTCTACAGAGTGAATTCCAGGACAGGCAGAAGTACAGAGAAACATGGACACCCTCCATCTCAGGGCCCTTCCCATTGATCACTAATGGAGAGAATGCCTTCCAGCCGGATCTCATGAAGACATTTCCTCAACTGAAGCTACTTTTTCTGTGATGACACACAAAAGCAGCCATTAATATCCTTTGAGTATGAGGATGTGAGAAGTTTTGTTCACAGGTGAAACTCTGGTGAGAATGTATAAATCATGTTCTTGATTTTCCTTGTTGGTTCTATAAACCTAACTCCAACGTTGCTCACTCAGGACAGCCTTATGGAGAGCAGTTATTGGGACAAAAAAACCTTCCTTTTCACCATTTTCATTTCACAGATCCCGTGACAGTATACTGTTTACTTGTTAGATAATTTGTTAATCACCAGCACAATACAAGCCAGGGTTGTGGGAAGGGTGTTATAATAGGTAATAAAATCCTTGAGAGCATTTGGTTCATGACTGTGTTCTTTAAAATATCTTTGACATTGTTTTCTCTTATTAACATCACTGTAACATATATAAATAGCAAATTGTATTGCACATAGTTTGGGGATGTCTCATGCATCCATCCACTATTAAATTTTAAACAACTTCATTCTGGATACAATCAGATGAAAAGTACTTGAAAGGATTGTCATTGAAAATCCATTCCTTAAGTTTTTGTGTGGAGATGTTAAAAACTCAGACATTAATGAATAAGTACTTTTTAAAAAATGTTAAACTGATAAAAATCAAAAGATAAACCCTGTAGTTTGTGCTCTCTGCCCAAATATTAAGATAAACTAAGCATTTATGACAAGGCAAGATAGTACAAACTCTCCTCCATCGTCTATTCTTTTGACTAGAATTTGACTTCTGATACAGAATCTTGTGGAAAATTACCCAGCTCTATTCTTGGAACCTGAGGTCAAGATGTCCTTGTTAATTTAATTTGGCTCCAGTTAAACTGCCTTTGTACAAACATCTGCCTCTACCTAACTGCTTATCTTGGCTTCTGTTAAACTGCCTGCTTGAGCGAAAGCTCTCTCTGCAGCTGCTGAGCAAGATAGTTTTTTTTTCTTTTTCTTTTCCTTTTTTTTTCTTTTTTCTTTTTTTTCTTTTAATAGTCCCTTACACTGAATGCTTGGGGCTACACATGGTCCTGAATATCTGAATGTAGTCGCAGCCAACTGGAATAAAGACTAAGTTGGTTATAAAGTGTGTCTAAGTGGTATCCTCTGGTGCAGCATAACACATTAAAAGTTGCCGAATTGAAACCACTTATAAAAATACATGTGTGGAATTTCTCATACACATGAAAAAGTTGTTTGGTATAACTCGTGCTGGACTCAGTAAAAAATTGCTGTCAGTCAATGTAACCAGGAAGCCAGGACTTGACTAACCCTGTTTTTGTTGGCACTTTAGTCCCAAGTATGTGTACTTCTCCCTTGCACATGAGCAATTCACAAAGTTGGAAAAAGATAAGCGTTCAAGTAAAGAACGAACACAAGAAACAGAATAAAGCCTAAACTAATATAAAGATGCCATCAGGAGTAAATGAAGATTAATAGGATATAGATTCATGGTTTTAGACTTTATATGTATGTGTGTCTTGCTTGCATATATGTAAGTGCACTGTCTGTGTCTGGTGCCTGGGGAGCCCAGAAGAAGGCACCATATCCCCCTGAAACTGAGTTGAGACAGTTGTGAGCCATCCTGTGGATGATGGAGACTGAACATGGATCTTCTGCAAGAAGATCTCTAGCCCCAGTGATGATAATTAAGGTAAAAACAAGATTTTATTCAAGATCATAAACATACATTTGAATTTGGTATTTTACTGGATTCTAAAGTACATTGTTATGGCCTCATCTGGAAAAGTCTCCTATTTAATAACACTTATCTGGAATGACACTTTCATGTGAATGGTCCCTTTGGGAGAAGTTGCTATATTCCAAGTTCATCATGGTGAAGATATTTGCCTAGTACAAAATTCAGTAATGGGTAAATTTCTCTGTTGATGAGACAAAGGCGATAGATACCCAGCAATATTTTCATGTCTTGACCTCTGTCAGAATGTCTCCTAGCTGAAAGTCTTGCTCCCATCAAAGGTACAGCTGGACTGTCTTTCAGATTGACAACAATGATTCCTGGAGGTGAGGGCAGAAAACAGCTTCCCAGGACTGGCCCAATCCCTGGCCAGATTAAGCAATACCAATGAACCTGGAAACAAAAAAGTGAGATTGCAGTTCATAATTCCTGGCTTGAAAAGATGGGTTTGGAATACCCCTGTCCTGTCTGTGAAGAAATGTAGGACCTCATTCAACATCTGAGGAAAATGAGTAAGAGAGCATAGAAACCACCCACCTCATGGACCCAAACCGATACACTACCATGAGTCTGATTCCTCCAGAGAAAAAGCTTGACCTGAAAGATGCATTCTTTAGCCTCCCATTGGCAGAGGTGAGTAAACCTATATTTGTTTTTAAATGGAGGGATCCAAGGGAGGCTATAGATGGCAACTTACCTGGACTAGGTTGACCCAACGATTTAAAATGTTTCCAACTCTGTGGCACACGCCTTTAATCCCAGCACTCGGGAGGTAGAGGCAGGCGGATCTCTGAGTTCGAGGCATGCTTGGTCTACAGAGCGAGTTCCAGGACAGCCTCCAAAACAATACAGAGAAACCCTGTCTCAAAAAAAAAAAAAAATTCCAACCCTGTTTGATGAGACACTACATGCTGACCTCTTGCCCTCCTGGTACCATACTCTTATATAGATGACCTCCTCCTAACTTCTAAACTACAATAGGTCATAAAAGGTCCACTGAGGGATTATGGGAGTTCTAGACCAGGGGCTACCATGTCACCTCAGAAAGCCCTTTTGTACATCAGAGGGTACCTGATGAAGGGAGGCCAAAGGCGCCTGTTTCAGAGTAGGAATGCTGCCATCCTTCATATCCCAACTCCAAAGACTAATAGACAGGTTCAAGAGTCACCAGATGTGGCTAGGTATTGCTGCCTCTAGGATTCCAGGGTTTTGGGAAATAGCAAGTCCTCTATACACCAGCAAAAAGGGATACTGGCTCCTAATGTGGACTGAGTGTAAACAAAGGACGTTTGAGAATTTAAAGACAGCTCTGAGTTTGGTTCCAGCCCAAGCAGTTCCAGACATTGCAAAACGTGTTTGTGAAAAGAAAAATATTACAAAAGGGACTTAAACCAAAACTGTGGGGGCCATAAAAATATCTTTGTGACATACAAGTTCTAATTATTGGACATTGTAGTTACAGGGTGAGTCACCTATCTAAGAGCTGTGGCAGGTTTTGCCAGTATAATAGGAAAGTCAGTGGGGTGTTTTCCCTGCCTCTCTGAGCTAGCAGGTTTTCACTCCAGCATCTGACTACCAAGTCTATGCTGGTAAAATCAAATGATTGAGATTTCGTTAAAAACAACAAAAAGGGCTTCTCATTGATGGGGAAAAGGACCTTAAAAGCAAAGGGAAAATCTTGGACATCCCAGAGGTTATTTGTTGTCCCCTATGAGTTGCTGTATTCCACTGCCAACATCAAAAAAATTCTGGAATGTGGGAAACAGGGGACACCTGGTACTCAGACTTTATGACACAAGAATGGACACGGGATAGATTTACTGTCTAGACTAAACTGCTCCCTCTTCTTGGTCCCCAGATCTATGGGGTCTAACAAAGATTTCCTACCCATACTAAAGCCCCAACCAATTCTCCCCTCTAAAGAAACTGCCTCGCTTCACACATTCCAAGTCACAGTCCTGATTCCCACTCTCTAGGAATCTGCAGAATTCTCATGCCTGTTTTATACTCTTGGCAAGACCCACTATGTAGTTGCTCATTCCCAGCCACAAATCGGTCAGGATTGCTTGTCATGCTTAGACCCCCTGCTAGTTCGAATGTCACTGTCCCCCATAATCTCACAGGGAGTGACACTATTAGGAGGTGCAGCTTTGTTGGATTGGGTATGGTCTTGTTGGCGCAAGTATGTCATAGTGGGTGGGCATTTAGACTTCCTATGCTCAGGATGCCACCCAGTGTCTCAGTTGGCTTCCTTTTGCTTGTAAAATGTAGAACTCTCAGCTACTACTACTCCAGTTCCATGTCTGCCCACACTCCACCATTCTCCCTGACATGGTGCTAATGGACTGAATTTATCAAACTGTGGTGAGCCATCCCAATTTTAGAAGAATTGGGGTCATTGTGTCTCTTCACAGCAATAGAAATCCTAACTAACCCCCCCCCCCAGTCCCCATACAACATGGGGATAGGAACCAACTAGACTGTCAGCCTCTTGACTGACAAAACTCATTGTGACTTTACATCCCAAATTAACATTAGAGGACTGTAAGTGTCATGCTTACTTACTGGACCAGGAATTAAACTAGGCCAGTTGGAGAGGCCATAGTAAGACTGAGACTCTGACAATTTTATTGAGGGCAACCAGATTTTTTTATTTAAAAATAGTATTTTTCATTTTACATACCAACTCTAGGTCCTCTTCCCTCTCCTTCTCCAGCCCCCAACTCCAACCCTTCCCATCCCATCCATTCCTCAGAGGGGGTAAGGCCTTCCTTGGGGAGTCAACCAAGTCTGCCATACCAAATTGAGGCAGAACCAAGCCCCTCCTCCTTGTATCAAGGATGAGCAATGTATTCCACCACAGGGGGTGACTTCCAAAAAAGCCAGTTCATGCCCCAGAGATAGGTCCTGGTGCCACTGACAGGGTCCCCCAACAGATCAAGTCACAAGACTGTCACCCACATTTAGAGGGTGTATTTTGGTGTCATGCAGGTTCCCCAGCTGTCAGTCCATAGCCCATGAGCTCCCTCTAGCTCTGGTCAGCTGTCTGTGGTTTTCCCATTGTGGTTGACCCACCTTGCTCATATGATCCCTCCTCCCCCTCTTCAACTGAACTCCAGGAGCTCAGCCCACTGTGGTCACTGCATCTGCTTCCATCCGTTAGTGGATGTTGGTTCTGTGATGACAATTAGGGTAGTCACTAACTGGCTTAAAGGGGAAGGTCCGTTCTGACAGCCTCTCCACTATTGCTAGGAGTGTTAGCAGGGTAATCCTTGTGGATTCCTGAGAATTTCTCGAGCATCAGGTTTCTCCCTAACTCCATAATGGCTCTCTCTATCAAGATATCTCTCATTGCTCTCTTGCTCTGTCCCTCCCCCAAATTGGTCTTCTTGATCTCTCCTGTTCTCATCCCCATCCCCTCTCTTCTGCCCCTCCCAGTTTATCCAGGCGCCTCCATGTGTGTCCCTCTTACGGTGCCCCTTTTTACCCATCTTGTCTGGGGTTGTGGATTGTAACCTGGTTATCTTTGCTTTACATCTAATATCCAAGTATGAGAGAATACATACCATGTCTGCCTTTCTGGATCTGAGTTACCTCATGGAAGATTTTTTTTTCTAGTTTCATCCATTTGCCTGCAAATTTCAAGATGTCAGTGTTTTTTACTCCTGAGTAATACTCTATTGTGTAAATGAACCACAATTTCTTTCTTCATTCTTAGACTGATGAACATCTAGGTTGTTTCCATGTTCTGGCTCTTAAAAATAATGCTGCTATGAACATAGCTGAGCAAATGTCCTTGTGGTATGAGTATATGCCCAAGAGTGGTTTGCTGGGCCTTGAGGTAGACTGATTCCCAATTTTCTGAGAATCCGCCATACTGATTTCCAAAGTGGCTGTACAAGTTTACACTCCCACCAGCAATGGAAGAGTGTTCCCCTTTCTCCACATCCTCTCCAGCATAAGATGTCATCAGTGTTTTGTTTGTTTGTTTGTTTGTTTGTTTTTGCTCTTACGAGACAGGGTTTCTCTGTTTTGGAGGCTGTCGGTCCAGCCTGGCCTGGAACTTACAGAGATCCGCCTGCCTCTGCCTCCCGAGTGCTGGGATTAAAGGCGTGCGCCACCAACGCCCGGTGTCATCAGTGTTTTTGATCTTAGCCATTCTGATAGGTATAAAATGGTATCTAAAGTCATTTTGATTCACATTTCCCAGATGGCTAAGGATGTTGAGCAATTAATTAAATGCCTTTTAGTCATTTAAAATGCTTCTGTTGAGAATTCTTTGTTTCGATCTGTACCCCATTGTAATTGGATTATTTGGTATTTTGGTGTCTAGTTTCTTGAGTTCTTTATATATTTTGGAGATCTGCCCTCTACCAGATGTGCGGTTGGTGAAGATCTTTTCCCATTCTCTTGGGATGTGTTTTTTCTTATTGACAGTGTCCTTTTCCTTACAGAAGTTTTTCAGTTCCAGGAGGTCCCATTTATTGATTGTTGAGAGGAACCAGATTTAAGTGCTTATCAGAAACAAAACAGTGGTGATTGTCAGGATCAATACAGTTGTAGTTGCCAGTATACAGTGATGGTTGGAAACTTTACAGGGTACAGAAGGTTAACATCAAAGACCAATGATTCCAAGGGAACCTCCAGAGCAATGCAAAGCAGCCTAATGCTTCACTGCCTGAGCAAGTACATCATTCTCTCAGGAACTGAAAGCCACAGAGTGCCCCAGGAGCCATGGACTCTAACCTGAAAACCCGTGACACATGCCTCTCAAGGTAGGTAGGCCAGGCCAACTTCGTGGTTCCCTGTGGATGAATTACAAGGACTGGAACTGGTCTAATACCCAAAACCTTTAACCTAGGTATTTCCCTGGTTCTGCTGCCTGCTGATCTACCTATGGGTTAACTTATCTGGACAACAGTAATGTTACTGAGGCCCTGACATGAATGGTAGGCACATACAAGTGGTAGGACTAAATGTGCCTCTTCAGCAACCTTCCAAACTGAGAAACCCCTTTGTGCACCATAGTACAGTTCTGCCACACATATACCGATGTAACGGGGAAGAAGGGAGAAGACATTTTAACATGGACCCTGGACCACAAAGGATTAATGCTGCAGTTCTGGTGTTGGATTCACATGGGTCCCTGGAAGGAAAACTCAGAGGCACCTTAGGAATGACTTTATACAAGGGATCCAGCCTCTAAGGATGGAGCAGTTATTGTCTTCCTATTTACACCTTAGCAAGTTCATTTCTGTATCTCAAAGTTGGGCCGTACATACCTGAAACTGGGGCGAGGCGGGGGATGGTCTCCCCTCAGGACATAGCAATCCTCCCTTCTCCTAATGAGAGCAGATATACCTGCGTCCCCCACCCCCTATGGCTTCCATTCTGCTGGGCAGATGCTATCTCTTCAGCTTCACTCTGCTAAAAGGAAGCCCCCACAGAAGTGCAGCAGTCTCCTCCAGCTCTTGCCCCCCTCCCTAGCAGGGAACGTCTCTGCCAGGATTTTCTGCTCAGTTCCCTAATGACATCTCAGCAAGGTTCTTCTATTCTGCACTGGTGAATGACGATCTTCACCCACGACTCTTTGGGAAGGAGGAGTCCAGAAGAGTGGCTGCCTCTGCCAGGGTGGGAAAGCAATGCCAGGAACTCAACAGGTAGAGTAGAGGGCTTCTTAGGGACAGAGCCTTCCCAGGGAGTTTTCCTGCTCTGGGATTGGTTAGCAGAGTTGGCTCTGGTTTCAGGGCCAAACTATTTCCTTCACTGGTCCTTTTAGCTTTTTGGCTCTATCTTCAGGGCCAAGGGATATTCCTTTCACTGACTCTCTGGTTCTAGAGCCAAAGTGTGTTTCTTTGCCTCTGTTTTCAGAGTTTGGATGTTTCTTTGGTTCTGGGCCCAGGGATAAAGTGCTTCTTTCACTGACTCAGGTTTCATATCCAGGGTGTGTTTCTTTCACTGGCTCTGGTTTCAGAATCAGGATGCTCAACGATTGGTTGGTTTCCTGCTCAGGGATTGGTTAGACTTTCTGCTCAGGGATTGGTTGGGTTCCTGTTCAGGGAGTGGTGGATTCCTGTTTCACTTGATCAGGAGCAGAGTTGGATCTGGACTGAGGGTCAAACTGTGTTCCTTTCACTGACGTTGTTTAACTTTCTGGTTATAGTTTTGGGGCCAGGACATATTTCTTTCACTAGCTCTGGTCCCAGGGCCAAAGTGTGTTTCTTTGGCTCTGGTTTCAAAGTCAGGATGTTTTTCTTGGATTCTGGGTTTAGGGATAAAATGTTTCTTTCACTGGCTCAGGTTTCAGAGCTTGGGTGTTTTCATTCATTGGCTCAGGTTTCAGATCCAGGGTGCTAGATTTTGTGCTCAGGGATTGGTTAGTTTCTCTGCCTGGGCCTTTTACCCTACAGTCCACCTGACTGTGCCTCCCCATTGCTGGGAATGAAAGGCATGTGCACCCATGCCCAGCCAAGTTTATTTCCACTAGGTGAATTGCTGCCTTTATCCCCTTCTACCTCGATTTTAAAATTGACCTAAGTCTTTTTTTGACTATGAAAATGGTACTTAACCTTTAACATATTTTTATGGTTAGCACATGGTTGGGTCTGCTTAATTTCAAATCTAACCTAACAATCTATACTTCATAGTTTAGGTTTAGATCATTTAATATGATTAGTGGTATTCCTAGGATCGTCTATTATCGTGACAGTTTTCTGTAAATACATGAAACAACAAAAGTGATTTTGAATTTCAACTGAACCCTGATTGTGTCCAGAATAGAAATCTGATGTAAACTGCCCTTCCTCTCCACGATTAAAACAAGCCAATTTTTTAGTTCAGTCTTTTCAAATTTATCACAGTCCCTACCATTATTACACAGCGAGGAGGAATCCTTCTGCAGTGGGTCTCAGGCAAAGTGTAATCAAATCAGTTATGTCTCGATCTGATTTTATTCCAGTTCTGCACTTAAATTAAAGCTCGTCTGTACACTCCATAGGAGAGATTATAAATTACCTGCAGAACACGGAAGAACCAGGGCACCTTTTAAGCGTGCACCCCTGTGGGAACTCCCACAAGCCTCTGGGGCAGCTCCCAGACGGGCTGGCCAGGTTGCACGCTGCGATTTCTCTGATGGCAGAAGAGCGCTAGACGACCTGGAGTCTTAGACACCGGGACTGTATTTCCCTGGGGCGCCTGCGCCGAAAGCCGACCATCCAATTCCGGCAGCCTGGGCCGCTAAAGTGGAAGTTCATCTTTCTAGTTGGAAGAAGACATTTCTGTTTGGCGTAATTCTCCACTGAGTGAGGCCGGAGCCAGAGTGCTGAGTGTGGACGGTAGTTGTGTCTGTGCGTGCATACGTGTGTGCACGAGGGTGGTGTGTGTGTGACTGTATGTTGGTGTGCTTGAGGGTGGTGTGTGCGTGCGCACTCGTGCGCGTCTCGAGCTCTCCGGTGCCGGTGTCCCCGCGCTCGTCGCTCTCCGCTCCCGCTTCCTCGCCGTCACGGGGCTGAAGCAGGGGACCAGGCTTCAGGAGCGAGAGCTCAGGGACGGAGTCTGGGGGAAGCTTTCCCTGAGCTCCACACTTGAGCTCGGGCCGAGCACTGGAGGCCGCCAGCGCCCCCAGGGTCGCCCAGGAGGGCGGCTACTTGTTGCGTCCGTAACTTTCTCAGAGCTGTGGGCACCGTGAGTGTCGCGGGAAGGGAAGGGAGTGCGCTGGGGTGTGTGGTCTGGGGTCTCACGAGAGCTCGCTCAGGCTCCCCGAGTCCGCCATTGTTCAAAAGGAGGGAGGGCTTGGAGCGGAGTGCGAGCATCATTGCTGTACACCCAAGATTCAAGAGTGAGCTGGCTCCTTCTTTGTGTTTGAGAAACGAGGTTGTAGTGTTAGAATAGCGTTGTCGGTACGTGAAGGTGGAATGCGTAAATCGGTGTCTCCATCCTTGTGTTTGCATTGTCTCCCCCTTTCCACTCAATATTCATAGAATCGTTTCAGAGATCCTGACGCCTTCTCTCTACAATCAGTCCGTTTCCCCAAGGTGTTAGAGGTAGGGACCTCCAGAGGTTACCCTTAGGGCTTCCCAGGTGTGATTTGTTAAATCGGTTACTATTTTTTTTGTCATCACACATCACTTAGCCTTTGATTTTTAAAGGTCTCTTCCTTTGGAAGCAGGGGAAGCATGGAGGTGGTAGACATTTCTGTTCACTTTCAAGGATTTCCAGAATGAGAGAATGACAGCACAGAATTTGACATCTTTGAGGGCTGGTGATTTTCAGGGTGTCTGTGTGGAAACGGGTGTGCAATGCTGTGGTTGGACGTGGGGATGTGGATCTGTGGTGTCTGGTTGGAATCTTGGTTCTGTCCCCTTCTAGCTCTGTAGCCCTGTCATGCTCCTTAGAGTGACGGTTTTGTTAGTGCAGTGCCAGCCGTATAGTAACGGCCTGATGTGTTTTAGTTGTTGCTTTGTGTGGTCATTTGGGGTTCATTCTCTTTAGTTTTCTGTAGTACAAGAGAGGGTTAGAAATAATGTGCTTACTGGTTGTATTTTTAAGAAAAGGACTTTAAAAGGGTAGGATTTATGATGTACATTTTGATATCAGCACCAGGAGGCAGACACAGAAAGATTTCTATATGTTCATGGTCACTTTAGTCTACACAGTAAGTTCCAGGCTATCTCCGCTACATAGTGAGACCCTATCTCAAAAACAGTAACAAGGGAAAGAAATGTACTAACATAGAGCAGGGTTGTTTTTTGTTGTTGTTAATTTTTAGATGAATTTTTTATATTGTTTACACCATGATAAGTTGGAGTCGTTATGTCCTTTGGGATGAATAAACCTACCTGTCACATTTTTGTAGTGAATACACTTAATGGCTACTCTCTGAATCTTTTCAAAACCCTTACTCATAGTCACCGAGTTTTATGATATATATAGAACTCGTGTTGTGTAGCTGAAGTCGTGCAGCCCTTGATCAGCGTCTCCCAAGTCCATTACAGATCCCCGTCTCCCACTGTCAACCGCGATGCTGCACGTCCAGCCTCAGACACTCATAACCCCCTTACCCACCTTTTACTTGTTCCTGTGAGGTAGCATCTTCAGATTCTGCATGGAGATCCTGGGTGTTTGTCTTTTTGTGTAAAAATTGCCTGTTTTTATTTAAATTCTCTGTGTGTGGCTATGTGTACACGGGCACTGGTGCCCTCAGAGGCCGTATGTAGAGGGTCTACTGGAGCTGCAGTAACCGGCATTGTGAGCTGCGGGGGGGGGGGGACACTGAACTCCTGACCTCTGGAAGAGCTGACCCAGCTCTCAGCCTCTGAGCTATCTCTCCTGCCTCAGCATCTGTCTTCGTCTTTAGCTCATTTTCTACATGTTCATCCGAGTATTGGTACTGGTTGGACATTATTGCACTGTGCTTTGAACCTCATTCTCGATTTGCTTTGTCCGTTCATCTCTTGTTGGGGTTACATATCACAGCTATGTAAATAGTACTGGAGTAAACGTGGAAGTGTAAATGTCTCTGTATGGTCCTGATTTGATTACCTTTGTGTCTCTTCTCAGTAGTGGGCCATGTGACAGTTCAATTTGTATTGTTTCCAACAATGACTGTATTAATTCGCATTTCCTCCAGGAATGTTCTTTTTCCCCCATGTTCTCTGCACTGTGTTTCCTTTCTGATAATGGACACTTTTAAAAGAGGCATTTGTACCATGTGCATGCCTGGTGTCCGAGGAGGCCAGAAGAGGGTGTGAAATTCCCTGATACTGAAATTAGGGATGCTTGTGAGTCACCATGTGGCTGCTGGGAATCGAGCATGGGTCCTCCACAAGAGCATAAGGTACTCTAAAAATACTGGGCCATCTATCTCTCCAGCCCCCTGGTGATTGACACTCTTATGAGGCCGGAGGAGGCCTCCCGTTGTGATTTTAATGCGTTTCTATCTGATGCTTATTTTTCATGCACCTCTAATAGGGCACAGTGATGTTCCCTGTGTGCTATGTCTATTTCTGTCTTTGCCTGCCTCTTAATTACCATGTGTGCTTGTCACTGAATTTTCTTTATTCCTTATAAAGTCACTGTGCTGGAGGAGTTTAGATGTTAACTACTTGTCAGATGTGTCGTTTGCTAATATCTCTGCATTGTCTAGACTCTCCCTCCTGACTGTTTCCTCTGCTGTGTAAGGGTTGGAATCCCGTTTGTCCATTGTTGCTTGTGTTTTTACAGTAACCCTCCAAACGCCAGTGTCTTGGAGGTGTTCCTCTTTTTATTATTAGTATCAGTTTAAGACTTTAAATTTTAATCTGTTTTCAGTTGACTTTTGCATGTGGTGTGATTGAAGATCTAGCGTCATTCTAGTGGGTGTTAAAATTGAATTTGGTCAGCACCACTGATTGCAGAGACTAGTGGGGAACCCATGTGGGCCAGGCTGTCCTGGGACTTTGTTTTTTTCATTTTTTGAGACAGGGTTTCTCTGTGGCTTTGGAGACTGTCCTAGAACTCGCTCTGTAGACCAGGCTGTCCTTGAACTCACAGAGATCCACCTGCCTCTGCTTCCCGAATACGGGGATTAAAGGTGTGCACCACCAATGCCCGGCTTGTCCTGGGACTTTGAAGAACCGTCTTGCTGCTGTTGTCCCAGTGCTGGCAATGTTGACCTATGCGCCCACATCTAAAAGAATTTCTGCATTTTATCTCTGACGTCTGGCATCACAAACTTCATGAAGTAAAGGCAGTCATAAACGTCATGAGGTCACACACTGAGCTATCAGAGAAATGTGTAAATGTGGCTGGGTGATGGCTCAGTCGGTACAGTGATTGCAAGCATGAATCTATGCAGTGCCAGATGCTGTTGTGCATGTCTCTAATCCCAGCCCACCTATTGCACGCCGGGAGGTGGAGATGGGCATCCCTGAAAGGCAGGGTAACTTGGTGTATGCAGAGGCAGGAGGGAAGGAAGGAAGGAAACAAAAGAAGCCAGGTGTTGGTGGCACACATCTTTAATCCCAGGCAGGGGACTCTCTGTGAGTTCAAGACCAGCATGGTCTATAAGAGCTAGTTCCAGGACAGCCTCCAATGCCACAGAGAAACCCTGTCTCGGAAAACCAACAAAAAAAAAAATTAAAGAAAAGAAAAGAAAAAGAAAATATGTATGACTCTAGCAAAAACCAATGAAACAAATAACCCCATAGTTGAGTGAAGCAAGGCTTAGATTAGACTCAATGGCTGGAGCACTGGCTCCCTGTTTGGTGATGGCTGCTCCACAGGATAATATCTCAGGGAGTTCTGAGATGCGTGTGCTACTCAGATCCTGTGAGTAGAGATTGGATGATGCGGAGCGTTGTACAGAGCCCATGAGAGTCCTGACATACACCCCAACCCAGATTAATGATGTCAGTGTGCTGAGGTGATGAAACCCAGCTCTAGACTCAGGCTTAGGACACGGGGAGTGAATTTGACATTGTATTGTACAAAATATTCTTATATTTTGGAAATCATGGAAAGAGGGAAATCAATTGTACCTCCTGTGACAGCATGTTTTGTAACTAATACTTTAGAGGCAGGGGAATGTGGATCTCTGAGTTCCAGGCGAGTCTGGTGTGTGGTGTGAGTTCTAGAACAGCCAGGACTAACAGAGAAACCCTGTCTCAATAAACAAAACAAAATAAAATTCATTGTTTAGTAAATACAACCTGAGCCATAATCATAGACGAGCGAAGGCAGTCAGAGGGTGTTCCATGGTGTACGACTCCATTTACTAAAAGCGGGTACAGAATGCTGAACACTGCCTGAGGATTGCAGCTGCAGACCCCAGCCTCGCTGTGCCTCACTCAGCCCTGAGTGTTCAGAGGAGTTACCGTTCAGTTGCCGTCTCCCTGTCAGCCCTGAGGGTGGGATTCCGGTGGGAAGATCTGCTTAAGGTCGGGGGCTAGCTGCCTGTCAGAAGGAACGTGGGGTCCCCTCTGCTGGCATCTTCTGGGGACTTCTAGGCAGGCGTGCCTGTGCTCTGCATGTCCGCACTGAGTCCTTGTCAGTGGCTTGTCTGGGTTGGGACAGAGTCGCTTGTGTGGACTCCTGTCTGCTTCTGTTTGTGAGTGGGTGGCTGTGAGCGGTGGACAGGAGTGTGTGAGTGCGGATGCCTGGAAATAAACGTGGTCAGTGAGCCATGCTGACCCGAGTCAGCCTGGGAACATCAAGTGACAACCCAATGAAGACTGTCTTTTTGTCCCCCAGGGGAGGACCCTGAAGAAGAATGGCCAGCTCTGGTTCTCAAGACATGGTCTGTGTAAGTTACGTTCTCTCTTTACATAGGGTGACTTTGAGGTTAGGTGACTCTGCTGTCTTTCTCTCGTGAAGCTTCCCCAGGACCCAAGCTGCCCCGTCCCTCTCAGTGAGGGTTAAAAGGTCAGAGCACTTCCTGTCTGTCTCTCTCCCGCTGCTTCTGGAGTTTTCTGAGTGCATCCCTGACCACCTGCTGTCTGCTTGGTCTGTGATCAGGGAGCAGTGTCCTTGCAGTGGGGGCCAGAGTCCCACAGGGAAGCAGGGTCTTTGGGGTTCAGAACGCTGAGGTGATGGTGTCTTTGACTGCACTGGGAATCCTGATTGACACCTTTGGTGTTTTCAGGCTGGTGATGTGGGTTTGAGAGTGAATGTCCTGGGTGCATGTGTGTGAGGAGATGACCTGCTTGAGGGTCTTTAAGAGAGAGTTCAGTGGTGAGAGGGACAGGTCATCCAGGCTGCGATTGGAGGGGACGGCAGACTCCAGAGTTCAGGAAGACCTGAGACACATCATCATCTTGAACGCAGTCAGGCGCCTTGAGCGTTTCCATGGCTCCTTTCCCACTCTGGAGTCCTTTCCCTTCTGTTTCTCCATCTTGAAGAAGGCTTCCGCAATTTCACTCTGCTGTGTTTGTGGTTTCAGGGCCCAGTGACATTTGGGGATGTGGCTGTTGACTTCTCTCAGGAGGAGTGGGCCTGCCTGGATGCTACTCAGAGGGTCTTCTACAGGGACATGATGTTGGAGACCTACAGCAACCTGGTCACAGTGGGTAAGGCCATCTGTCCCCATGAGTGGGGGATGTGTCCTTTACACTATTGGCTTTCCTTATTCTGAATGAACAGACAGGGCCGTCTTTCCTGTGGTAGCTCAAGCTGGGCTTGGTGGCCCATTCCTGTCATTCCTTCACTCAGAAGGCTAAGACAGGAGTAATTGTCAGTTCAAAGTCACCTTCAGGTACATTGTGAGTTCCAGTAGTCTACTCTACAGGGTGAGGCCCTGCTTAAGACAAAACAAACAAACTGAATGAAATAAATAAGGAAACAAATCAATGAATAGAATTAAGGTCTACAGAGATGATTGCTGTTTGAGAGAATTGGCTGCTCTTGCAGTGGAACCTGACTAGAAAGTTATCTTATAGCATCTGCAACTCCAGTTGAGGGATCTGCGGCGCCCTTCTGGCCTCCATGGGAATCAAGCATGCATGTGATATTCAGATGTACATGTAGCTTAAGATAAAATGAATTTATAAGACGTAGCTGAGTTCCTCCTTCCCAAAGGCGTAATGTGGGAATTCTTTGTTGAAAACTGGAACTTAATGACGTACCTGTCCACACCTTGGAGATCCTCTCAGTGAGCTCTGGGTTCAGAGTGAGACCCTGTCTCAAAAGCCAGAGTGGGAAGTATTCACATTGCTCCCTGTCTTATACATACACATGCATGCATGCCTACACATGCTTGTGCATACACCCTCATGGAAACATGCATCTACTCTACATACATGCCTACACACGCTTGTGCATACACCCTCATGGAAACACGCAGCCACTCTACATGCATGCCTACACACGCTTGTGCATACACCCTCATGGAAACACGCAGCCACTCTACATGCATGCCTACACACGCTTGTGCATACACCCTCATGGAAACATGCATCTACTCTACATACATGCATACATACGCTTGTGCATACACCCTCATGGAAACACGCAGCCACTCTACATGCATGCCTACACACGCTTGTGCATACACCCTCATGGAAACACGCAGCCACCCTACATGCATGCCTACACACGCTTGTGCATACACCCTCATGGAAACATGCATCCACTCCACATGCATGCATACACAACTAAATAAAAGAGCCTTTGTGTTTCACTTCATAACGAATCAATAGAATCGAATCAAAAGAGAAATGGACACGTTCTATTTTCCTCAATGAACACTCCCTTTACCTGCATTGCAGGGAGCTTTTTTTAAATTTTAATTTATTTATCATGTATACAGCATTCTGCCTGCATGCCTGAAGAGGGTATTGGATCTCATTACAGATGGTTGTGAGCCACCATGTGGTTACTGGGAATTGAACTCAGGACCTCTGGAAGAGCAGCCAGTGCTCTTAACCTCTGAGCCATCTCTGCAGCCCTGCAGGAGGTTTTAAGCTGTGAATTTGTCCTTTTCATTGAGCAAGTCTGTAAGGATGAGGTGTAAATGTGAACAATGCCAAGGGAACTAACTCAACAGTAGATCACTTGCCCAGCATGCTCAAATCCTTATTCCATCCCCAACATTGCTACATAGAAAAAATAGAAATTAAAAAAAAAATTGTGTCAGTGTAGTTCACACGGTATTCAAAGCATCCGAATATACTATTTGATCTTAGTATCAATCCTAGCTAATAGATATCATCAACTCAGTCTAAATTATTGTTATTATTATTATCATTTGATATTTTTTGTTTGTTGTTTGTTTGTTTGTTTTGAGGCCAGGTGTCATGTAGCTCAGTCTGGCTGTGAACTTGCCATGAAGCCAGTGCCAGCCTTGAACTTCTCAACTGCCTGTTTTCACTCCTCAGGTGTTGTGGTTACTTGTGTGTGCCACCGTTTCCAGTTTTTAGATGAAAAAAATGAACACAGACTCTTACATAAATGACTTTATTATCCGGCTACAGAGATGGGGTTCCACTAGGTAGTGTAGCCTAAGGGTTCATCTTCTCGCCCAGTATATATACTCTCCCCTATGTGACAAGCCCCTGTCTGCATTTCTGAGATTAGCACACCTCCCTTTTTTCTGAGATACCGGCCGTCTATGCAGCACAGAGTGGCCTGGTTCATGCCTCCACCTGCTGGGCTTACAGGCATGATCCACCATGCCAAGCGTTATAGACCTCAATAAGGGATACTCTGTATTTTTAGAGATCTGCACTAGTAGCTCATGGCGGCACACACCCTTAGTCCCAGCATGTGGGAGGCAGAGGCAGGCAGATCAAGTATGTGCAAGACCAGTCTGGTCTACATATCAAGTTCCGGACATCCCGTGATAATTACAGCGGTCAAGTCTTATAAAGAAATGTCTACAGATGTGTCCCTTTTTTCTTTCTTTTAAGTGGGACGTTCCATCTCCAAACCCCACCTGATCACCTTATTAGAGCAGAAGAGAGAGCCCTGGATGGTGGTGAAGGAAGAAACAGACAGCCCCAGCCCAGGTGAGTGACAAGTCAGGGCTCCAGCACTGCCAGACACAGCGTGGTCGGAGAGTCACCTCATGCCTGACACTGGGTTGACACACTTCCTTCAGAGCACCAAGACCTGTGGAAGACCATGGCTGAGACCTGGGAGGGAAATCACGGTCATGGCAAAAGCTGTCACAGGGGCTTCTAGTTCATGAGTCACTAAGTTGTTCTCATCTCCTCCCTCTTACTGGGGCAGTTACCCTCTTTCTCATTTTAAATGTATTTTATTGTTGGTTGTGTGTGTGTGTGCACATGTGTGCAGGTACCCACAGAGGCCATCAGAGAGTGTCAGATCCCCTGCGACTGCATTTACAGGTTACTGTCACAGCCTTTGGGCCACCATGGCCCTAGTGTATCCTACTGGGAGGACAAGCAAAGGTTTTTGCTGCCTTGTTCCAAGCGTTTGTGGGTGGTTTGGTGTTTATTTCTCTTTTGGTAGTGTGTAGAGTACCTTCCTATCCCAAAGACATTGGTACATAGGGGTGAAGGCTCAGTGAATACTGAAATCTCTGCCTCTGCCTCTGCCTCTGCCACTGCCTCCTGAGTGCTGGGCTTAAAGGTGTTCCCATCACCCTGGCCAGGCCAGATTTTTTTTAAAGGATGACAGATAAATTGTGTATTTGCGTGGTTAGATTTTTTTTTCTCACAAGTTGGTTAAAAAACTTCCACCATAGGGTGTGCATTTCAAGTCATACATAAAGAAGCACATAAGATTCTTTTCAGTATAGTTTGTGTCAATCTCTTTAAGCAGACATGCCGTCCCATTTCCACCCTGTTCTACTGTAAAGAGTAGTGTCTTCCATACACTTTCATTATTACTGCTCTCCTTCCTCCTGTTCAGCTTCTCAGAAAATACTTTAGAATCTAATGGAGTGTGTGTGTGTGTGTGTGTAAAATAAAATAGTCTTGCTTTCTGATTTTCTTTCAGATTTGGAGTCAGATTATGAAGCTCAAAAAATGTCTCCAGACAATCATATTTATAATGTAAATTTACCCAAACAGAGCATAAAGCATGTAAGTAAAGCTTGTGACTTCCAGGGCTCCAGTTTTAGTAATGGTCCCAACTTTAGTACATTCAAGAGACTGCGGGGCTATCAAGATGGAGATGCTGATCAAAATATTACTAACAAGAAAAAAATGCCTAAAGTCTGACTCACAGTATAGAAAAAGCGTATGAATGTAAAGAGTGTGGGAAGCATTTTGATTGTAGTTCAACTCTTATTCGGCATCAGAGTATTCATACTGGAGAGAAACCCCATGAATGTAAGCAATGTGGGAAAACCTTTAGACTCCACCAACAACTTACAAGACATCAGAAATCTCACAGTGATGTGAGACCCTTTGAATGTAAGGAATGTGGGAAAACCTTCAGGCTCCCCTGCCTGCTTATAAAACATCAGAGCTCTCACAGTGGTGAGAGACCTTTTGAATGTGAGGAGTGTGGGAATTCCTTCAAGCGAGTCTCCCACCTCATTGAACATAGGCTCATTCATGCTGGTGTGAAACCGTATGATTGTAATGAGTGTGGGAAAGCTTGCAACATCAGAAAATTCATTCTGGTGAGAGTCCCTTTCAGTGCAAGGAATGTGGGAAGGCCTTCACTGTTCTGTCACAGCTCACTCGGCACCAGAACATTCGTACTGGAGAGAAATCTTTTGAATGTCAGCAGTGCGGGAAGATATTCAGTTGTGGGTCATTCCTTCTGCAGCACCAGAGTATTCATGCAGGTGAGAAACCCCTTGAATGTAATGTATGTGGGAAGGCTTTTAGGCTTTTGGTATACCTGAGCATCAGAAAACTCACACTGTTGAGAAATCTTTCAAGTGTAAGCAGTGTGGGTCAGCCTTCAGACATAAGGACCAACTTAGGGAACATCAGAAAATCCATACTGGTGAGAAACCCTATCAGTGCAAGGAATGTGGGAAAATCTTTCGTCGACGTTTAAATTTAACTTGGCATCAGAGTATCCACACTGGAAAGAAACCCTTTGAGTGTAAGGAATGTGGGAAAGCCTTTAGACTTAATATGCATCTCATATGGCATGAGAGGTTACATAGTGGTGAGAGACCTTTTGAATGTAAAGAATGTGGAAAGGCTTTTCATCTTCCCAGCCAGCTCAATTACCATAAGAGCAGGTTTCATACAAGTGAAAAAAGTATTTGAAATCGAGAAATGTTGCAAGTCCTTCAAGCGTGTCTCCAGTTTTGTTGACCATAGGATCTTTCATGCTGGTGTGAAGCCATATGAATGTAATGAGTGTGGAAAAGCCTTTAATTGTTGCTCAAACCTCACGCAACATCAGAAAATTCATTCTGGTGAGAGACCCCCTAGTGTAAGGAATGTGGGAAGACCTTCACTGTTCTGGTACAGCTCACTTAGCACTAGAGAGGAATCATTTTGGTGTGAGCAGTGTGGGTCAGCTTTCACACCTCGGTACCAGCTTACTGAACATCAGGACATTCATCAGTGAGTGTAGGTCCAGGGCACACCTGCTGTTTCACTACCCTGCTGCCATGACAGGCTCAAGTAGGGCAGGCCCGAGCTTTCAGTTTACCCTAAAGCAACACCTAAGTCCAGGAAAAGACCACAGACCACGCCCACCTAGGAATGGACCGTCCAAGGGAAAAGTACCAAAGGAAATTCCTGGTGTTCCAACCATTGTAGATAGGATCACCTGGTGTCCCTTAGCTGGGAACAGATCCAATTCTCTCACCAAGACACCCCTAGACAAATGTCAGCTGATCACCATCTTGAACCCTGAAAGTCACCTCACCCTCAACCTCTGCTATTATTAAAAAAACAAAAACAAAAACAACAAAAAAAACCAAACCAAAAAACCTACCCTGCCTGGGTTGGGCACCCTGCTCTCAACCATTGTTGGGATGGAGAGTCCAAGTTTGAGCTTGAATAAAGGCCCTTTGCTTTTCCATACATGATTTGGTCTCCTCGTTGGTTTTTGTGGGACTCTATGATTTGGGCATAACAGTGAGAAGCACTTTTAATGGAAGGAATGTGGGGAAGCCTTTTGGTATTATCAACAATTTCATACTGGCAAAAACCCTTATGAATCTAAGGAATGTGCAAAGTGCCTTACTTGTGGCAGATACCTTAAAGCACATCAAAGAATTTACACTAGTGAAAAGATACTAGTAATGTTAAGAATCTGGTGGGAGCCCTTTAGTCAAAAATGTAACTTTGTTTGCCCAACAATTCATATTGGAAAGAAGCTTTAGAATGACAAGGAATGTGGAAAGGCCTTTAGCACTAATCTTAAGCTACCTGTATATAATTCACACTGCTGAGAAACCCAATGACTAATAAATGTGGGAATGTGTGTAGATTTAGTTCATCCTGCACAGTGGAGAAGTCATGTGGGCACGAAACCCTATCACTATAAAGAAGGAAAGAACTTCAATTTGAGCTCAGGCCTTCGTCAATACAAAGGAATCCATGCTGGTATGAAACACTATGAATGCAAGGAATGTGGAAACATTTATAGAATTAACTGAGCTCCTACAGCTTATCAGAGGGTCCATATAGGCCTGAAACCCTGTGAATGTAAAGAATTGTGAAAACCTGTGTTATGAATGGTGAGCTTACACAACAGCAGAAAAATCTGCAATCATCAGGACTCCTGTGCGTGTAAGGAGGGTGGACAAGCTTTTGCATGGAAATTTTACTGAATATCAAAGGACCCATTGGCAAGATTGTGATTGAAAAGATTGTGTAAAGAACTTTATTCTGCCCTAGGATTTGGTCAACATCAGACTATTCATGTATTCTTGATGCCAAGAAACCTTTAGAGAATTAGCATGTTGTTTAGAGGAGTTATTCTGTTGAGATGTCTTTGAATGTCACAAATAATAGGGAAGCCTTCATGTTCTTGATTTATTTTCATCTTGTTAGTTTTACAAACTTAATACATCGAACACTTCTCAGCCAACTTAGAGGGAGCAGTTATTGGATCTAGGTTTATCTGTGGTGCCTTCCTTGTCCTAGTTAGCATCCCCTGGCTTCTGTGAATGGCCGGCCAGCACAGGACCTGCCAAAGCTGTGGGGACAAGGTTTTCATCTATATAAAGTCCTTGAAAGAGGATTTGGTTCATGCTTTTACAGTGTTCTCCCTTTTGTTGGCATTACTGTAACTGATATGAAAGGCAAATTATACTTCAGATAGCTTAGGAAAGTCTCATGGGTTCCTCCACTATAAATTTTAAATAACTTCATTCTGTATACATCTGTTGCGTGAAAAATTGCATGAAAGAATTTTCACTGCAAACCCAAGGAACCAAGTGACAGAGAGAGATGAGTGATGAGCAAATTGGCAAAGAATGGGCTGGCAAAACCAGCAGAGACAGCTGATCTGAACAGGGGAGAGATCTTGGACCCCAGAGCGACAGTGGGGAGGCCAGCATGGGACTGATCTGGACCCCCTAAATGTGAGTGTCACCGAGAAGGCCTGGGCAACCTATGGGGCCCTGAGCTGTGGATCAGTGTCTATCCCTGGAATACAAACAGTCATCGTGTGCCTATAGCACAAAGAGGGATGCTCTCTCAGCCTGGACTCTTAGGGGAGTGCCTGGACCCTACCCAGAGTGAAATGACAGACTCTAGATATCCCCTATGTGGAAGGATTTGGCAATAGGGTGGGAGGGAAGGGGAGTGCGGGAGGAGAGGAGGGAGAGGGAACTGGGATTGACATGTAAAACAAGCTATTTAAAATTAAAATAAAAAATGATTAAAAAGTATTTGTGCGGAGATGTTAACACAGCCATGGATAAATACTTTTTAACGGGTTAGACATACAAATTTCAAAACATAAAACCCTATAATTTATGTTCTCTGTTCATCATGAAGATAAACTATACGTTTGTGAGTGACAGGGCAAGACAGCGCAGAGGCCCCTTCGTCTCATATTCTTGCTGAGGCCATTTAAGGGTTGAGCAGAATTGGACTTCTGATGGAGAACCTTG